TGTTCCATTTATACAGGTAAATTTCAAGAAACTGATGATGATATTAATTCAGGTACAACAAACATTAAAGATTATGCTATAATCTTTATAATTAAAATTTAATACAGAATTGGCAGTTGATACAGAACTGACAGAAGCAACAGATGATAAAGGTATAGCCTATGCAGTATAACATAGTATTGAGGAATGATTGCATTGTATAGCTGAACAGCAGCACATTGGCCTCAAGCTTGGTAATAAAGGTATTGTCATAACACTCACACCAGATTACAAAAGCAGAAGTGGAGTTGTTTACACTCGTTGGGGAAAGACAACTTGCAGGAATGGAGTAGAGCTGGTCTATGCTGGATATGCTGGAGGTAGTGACCATAGTGAGCATGGAGGAGGAGCAAACCTATTGTGTATGCCAACGACTGGTATAGGACATCTCAGCACTCAAAACCCTGGACACTATTCTTATATTTATGGATCGGAGTACGAATCACAAAATAGGATCTGGGGTAACCACAACTGGAATGTCCCTTGTGCTGTGTGCTATGTTCCTGACAAATCCACTAAGCTGCAGTTGCCTGGTAGGACCACCTGTCCAGACTCATGGACCCAAGAATACAAAGGCTACTTGATGGCAGACCATCGTGGTCACCGTAGAAATGCAGTCTTTGAATGCATCGATGAAGCTGGAGAGAGGATTCCTGGCTCCAATAGCAATAAAAATGGTGCACTGTTGTACTTTGTGACGCCAAGGTGTGATAGGGGAATGCCTTGTGATCCAAGGTGTTATAATGCCAATATTGCTATAACCTGCTCCATCTGCACTCGCTAAGAGTTTCAACTATGGACTGTGGAAATTGAACATCGGACAATGAATTTAGGACTTTTTAAATGTGCTGTGATTAATTTTGTTGTAGTTAGTTTTTGTTTTTAGAAAAAAGTTTAGTAGCTCATTTAAAATAATTAAAATAAATTATATAGTAGCATGTATCAGTGTTTTTTGAGGTTGTTTTTTTCTATAACTTTTTATGAAACAAGTTCAGGTGCAACTGATATGCATCTGTGACAAAATGGAATACATTCACATGCAAAAGTTAATATACTGCATAAAAGAAGCAATCATGGCCACAGCGTGATAACAAAAAAATTAATGATAACAATTAATGATATAGATCTAAACATACTTTATCCATGCACTCTGCTGCTCTATAAGCAATTTAACACTTCATACATGAAATCAGTACTGTTAATAATAGCTAGCTACATTCTAATCAGCTTATTTATTATTTTTAGGGCAATAATTTCCAGTTAATAGTTGTAACTAATCAAAGCATTAGAGTCAATCGTTAATGGTACTTATGGAGCTGCTGATTCATCTTAATTTCTTTCCATTTGGTACTACTGTTATGGATGCACTCAGCATCATACCAGCTAGGGACATATATATTTTCACTGAATGATAAACCACCAGGTATGACTATAGTACATGTATCAACTGTTCCATATAACTAGTATATCTTTTAGATCCTTGCACTGAGTCTGCAATGTCGACTGCTCTGCTGTATGTAAAGCTCAATTTCTCAGAATGACATGTGAGGCTTTGAGGATTAATGGTGAAGACCTACCAGCTTCATCTCAAAACTAATAAAATTGAATTTGTTGTGTTTTGTTATCATACATCACCAGTGGTGGCTATTCAGTAATAGTGTCAGTATTGTTTTTCATTGATAAAGTCAATTTTGTTTTAACAGTAGATAACTAGTTATTTTGTTAACATATTGAATTGTAAAATGATTAGAAATACTTTAGGTGTACATGATGAAGCAGACTTAAAGAATGACTGACAATTCCAGACTACTTAGTGACAATTAAGAAATCATACCATTATCTATCATCATGTTACAAGCAGTATCGTATACAGATTCTACTGTTGTAATGTGATCCCAGCTGCCAAAAATAATAGATATTAGAGTTAAACTCTATAGTCTCTAATCTGTTAACACATTACCTTGTTGTACAGATTCTCATAAAACGCTGTATAAAGGACTATCTCAGCAATCATGTAATTTGTTTTATCAGTATTACAAAGCCTATGTTATCAGGGCCGTAGCCAGGAACTTAAAATAGGGGGTTCGGAAATTGCTGCGCGCGCAGCGCGCAGCGAAAATTTTGAGTAAAATAGGCGTGGTTGGTAGGCGTGGTATTAATTTACGCATCTCAGCCATGTGCTGACTCAGCTAAAATGGCTTATCTGTGCTTCTCGCTGTTGCCAAAATGTTAATCCTTCTTTTGCAGTGCTGTTCTTCATGACAGGAGCTAATCTAAAACTTTTTTGCAGCTACAATAGGGGGTTCGTCCGAACCCCCCGAACCCCCCCTGGCTACGGGCCTGGTTATACAATAAGGATAACATAGGCGGCTGCAGGATTTCACTGCAAGTAGGGCAAAGGTGTGGCTGAAAGTGGGAGTGGTCAAAAAGTAGGTCAAGAGCTACCCTGCCATTCTTGTGTTCAAAAGGAGAAAATTCAGTACCTAAAAGACCTCTATCAATGATAGAGTATCAGTAGCTAGGTGATTTAGCTGTTGAATGAGTCCTAGCTGATAATAATGAAGCTGCTATTGAGATGGAGTCAGTTATTCTAGCTGCAGCCTGTTTACTGTAGATTATGCCTTCCTGAAGTGGCCATAGGTATGGACCTATGAAGTGGTTGACTGGCTTCCTGTGATTATAAACCATGCAGTTAGCAGCTTATTCTCCATTAATTATCACTTTGTTGAGCAAAATAATATAGTTTTTGTCATTAAAATAGCTATATTCCATGTAATAACTACTAAATAATTATTAATTAACTGCTAATTATGATGATGTCATCTTCCGGTAAGAAATTCTAGTAGGGCATTGCCCTCATTGCCTGCCCCTGCAGCCGCCTATGAAGGATAATAATACCTGACTCCATACATTGAGAATAGTATAAACAATCATGTAATCATATGGTACTACAGTATCTAAAGTGATTAATGCAAGCACTGTAACCACTTGGTCTACATGCAGTACATTATCCCATTCACTGGTATATACTTGACAAATGTATTATAAGCTAAACACATTAATGAACTTCAGTTACCTGTAGATCTAAATAACTGATGCAGTTAGTATAATGTATACCTGGAGATATAGTGCATATTCAGTACCAAAAAGGTCTGAGATGGATTTTAACTGTGGGTCTTAATCTGTGTTGATTTGTTTTCTTTTCCCCCTGGCCTCCAGGACTGAGATAATTTATTTATGAAACATCTTTTAGACAACAGTCATTATAAAAGAGGTATGTTTACAGGTATATTACACCTTCGACTCAATTGCTGCAGTCTTTGAAAGGATTGGTAAAGAATGTAAGCATCTCCACTCGACAATTAAAGAGTCATACCACTACCTATCATCAGGTTACAAGCATGTATGGAGTGGTAACACTGTGGTGGCTCCAATTAGTGAACATACATACAGTATTGTAACTGGAGCTATGGGGAGTCTACACATCAAAGGCCCTTCACTGGTTTCTGAATAATAATTACATACTTTGTGGCTTCAAAGATGATAGACAGTAGGCGCTGAATTCATTGTAACAGAAAAACAACAACAGTGTCAATATCAGTATCAGTATCAGTATCAGTATGGGATCAGTATCAGTATCAGTATGGGATCAGTACTCCTAACAGATATCATACTAGTCTCGTGCAGCCAGACCAGGTACGGAGGGCGTGGTCTGGCTACGCAAGACTATAGTCTTGTGTAGCCACTACTTCTACCTTACTAGTATAGTATTATTATTATACTAGTAAGATAGATAGTAGTCTTGTGTAGCTAGACGCTTCCCCTTTTGCCAACATCAAAAGAGTCTGGCTACGCAAGACTAATATGATAGTGTATGGTACTATCTTTACAGGTTATACAAATGGTCTTTCCCTTATAGCAACCTGTACCCATACGGTACATCATGGGAATACAATGAGCACTAGATATTCACTTATAGTCACTCTCCAGTATCAATACAGCCTCCAATTAATATATTAACTAATAACAAATCTCGTCCAGCTAGACTTAGGGCAACATAATATGATAAGGAGTTAGTATACAAATGCACACACGCACACAATATTAGTGCTTTATTTTGTAATGTAGTGTAATTGTACACTAACCATTATCTGTTCATATCATTAGTCATTAACACAGTTCATTTAGATCGTTTCTTACCGGTATTTACTTATAATATCTATAGGTTAGATACAGTGGATATACCTGCAATTGATTGTAGTGATTACATGCATCAATCTCAATTTTCTCTACCTGATTTCTGATGATTTTTCCAATAATAAAGCATATGGCAGGACTACTGATGATCCAGAGAGCAATGCCAATCAGATTAATGAAGCATTTCCTACAGTATATCTCCTCCTACACAATTAATAATAGTAACACTTAGAGCATTGCCAAACTTTAGAGCAAATAGAAGCAGTACATTTGGTTACTAGGCATATTGCTCATGTTATACATCTTTTACTGGAATAGAGTCATCTATTAATGGTATTGCTGCACTACTTGATTCTTCCGTTATTTCAATTTGGACAGTTTGGTATCTATAATACTGCTGTTATGGATGCTCCCAGTATGGTGTTCAGTATCTTTGGAGCAGATACACAATACAAGCTAATAAATGCAATGAGGCTCCTAGAGCAATAGTGGATGCTGTCTTAAAGAATGTACTCTAAGTCTAGAACAAAACTATGACAACTTCTTGGCAAGATAGGGATGTTCTAAGGTTTTTATGGGTCTCCAGCTTAGAGGACCCATCAGATATAGCAGTTTTTCGTTTTACCAGAGTTATATTTGGTGTCAACTGTAGTCCTTTTTTCTAAATGCCACGGTGCATACTCATTTGGAAAAGTTTGTGGACGAGTACACTGAGATAGTTGGCAGGGGCCTCAACCATTATTTTTTAAGAAGACAGCATCAATGTGATTACTGGACGGAGCCATAGATAAATAATTTTGATTTTTGATAAACTCTCTATACTGTTACAAAAAATAGTGCTGTTATTGCTGTAATGAATTGATACAGAATGTTCTTCTTAGCACGTGGGCATAAAAATTAATTGAGACAGGAAGTTATCAGTCACATTCATGGTAGCTTCTGTAGTGTGATTGTATGACTGAATTAGGAGGATCACGAATATTCTTGACCAAATAATAAAAGAAGAAGAGAAAGAGTTAGAAAGGAAAGAGGAAATGAAAGAAGAATGGGAATGTTTTAGAAAGAGTGAGAAAAGAGAAGTTACAGCAAATGATAACAAACAAAATAGCAACATACACTCACACTACTAAAATAGTTTGATAAAATGTTTTCTGAACAATAGAGATGAACGACGAACGATGAACGAATGATGAACGAACGAGATGAATGAACGGTAGCTACTCAGCTTCTTCTTGTGATCTGTGTGTAAATGTTTCTAACCATGTGTAACTATGTGGTTACAAGTCATGAATATTGAATGTGTTAATTAATCCAGGATATATTGAATGCATGAATATATTGACCACCACACTTCATTTACTGAGATGAATAACTAAAAATGATATCTACAAGTTCTAAATATAATGGACTCTTGGTACAAGCAGTCTATATAATGATTAATTAATCATTTATATTGCCACCGTTGGTGTTATTTAAACTGTTTTCATTTAAACACATACCTAATCGTAAAAATGTATCAATTTGGGAAGTGGACATTCAGCCTAAAAAGGCTGGGTTCTCAATGCACTTCCGTCATGACCGGAAGTACTATATCAACAAATAGGAGCATGGGTCAATGCATCAGATTAGAAAAACTCCTTTTTTAACTCATTGACACATGCTCCATTTGTTTATATACATGTATCTAGCACTTCCAGTTGTGACGCTAGCGCATAAAAGTAATGTGTCATATTATTGAGAACCCCACCTCAATGCACATTCAAGAAGACAACATTTTGCTGCATGACATAACAATGGATAATTTTATAGCATGTCTACCACAGTCATTATTCTATATCCTGTGAACAATAAATCCCACAATTGATAACATTCCTGTTTGATGATCATGCTTGTGATCATTGTAAGTTTGGCCTATTGTAATTTGTTATGACTTAAGTGATACTGCTATTATATCATTTGCTTAATTAGGCTTTTCGCCCATATAGATAATCATTTTATGTAATCACACACATCTTAATGAGCCTAAGACGAATTTGAATTCAATAGTATTTTTCCCAAGTAGCAGTGTATGCCAAGCAATACAATCTAGTAAATATTTTAAAACTTAGCAGAACATCGGCTCTAAGACTTGTGACTCCCACTCTGAATGGACATGGTCAATTAGTAAAATATTTGAAATTAATAGCAGCATAGGCTACTCATGCATTAAAATCAGATTATAAAGGAAGAAGGAAATAGCACCGAACTAAGCATCTGAGATAGAGACAAGTTTAATGTGTTAATATGCCATTTCACTAGTATAAAAGTGTACTCTTTACAATTGCATGCCATACAAGCACTCCCACTTATTCAGTGATGGTCTATATAAAGAGGAGAGTAGAGTCGGCTTAAGCATAAACAACTAAAGGAAGCAGTCTTAGATTATTTAGGTCTATACCAGCACTGCTATTAGTTGAAAATGAAGAGGATCTTGCTTCTTGCTTTCCTTGCACTTTGGATTAGCAGCAGCTATTGTACTCGAACTGGTATGATATAATTATGTTAACATGTTCCTTCAATAATTCATTTTTAAAGATGATGAGGATACAGACGATGTTGCTGAAAATAGTAAGAACATTTTAGTAATTGCTTGACTTATCATCTACAATGTTCCATTTATACAGGTAAATTTCAAGAAACTGATGATGATATTAACTCAGGTACAACAAACATTAAAAATTATGCTATAATCTTCATAATTAAAATTTAATACAGAATTGGCAGTTGACACAGAAGCAACAGATGATAAAGGTATAGCCTATGCAGTATAACATAGTATTGTGGAATGATTGCATTGTATAGCTGAACAGCAGCACATTGGCCTCAAGCTTGGTAATAAAGGTATTGTCATAACACTCACACCAGATTACAAAAGTGGAGGTGGAATTGTTTACACTCGTTGGGGAAAGACAACTTGCAGGAATGGAGTAGAGCTGGTCTATGCTGGATATGCTGGAGGTAGTGATTACACTGAATATGGAGGAGGAGCAAACCTATTGTGTATGCCAACGACTGGTGTAGGACATCTCAGCACTCAAAACCCAGGACACCATTCTTATGTTTATGGATCAGAGTATCAATCGCATAACAAGATCTGGAGTAACCACGATTGGAATGTCCCTTGTGCTGTGTGTTATGTTCCTGACAAATCCACTAAACTGCAGTTGCCTGGTAGGACCACCTGTCCAGACTCATGGACCCAAGAATACAAAGGTTACTTGATGGCAGACCAACGTGGTCACCGTAGAAATGCAGTCTTTGAATGCATCGATGAAGCTGGAGAAAGGATTTCTGGCACCAATCGTGATACAAATGGTGCACTGCTGTATTTTGTGATGCCAAGGTGTGATAGGGGAATCCCTTGTGGTCCCTATAATCGTAATATTGCTATTACCTGCTCCATCTGCACTCGCTAAGAGTTTCAACTATGGACTGTGGAAATTGGACATTGGACAATAAATTTAGGACTTTTAAAATGTGTTGTGATTAATTCTGTTGTAGTTAGTTTTAGTTTTTTTAGAAAAATGTAGTAGCTCATTGAAAATAGTTAACTTTAAAATAAGTTAGTCTATATATGTGTCAGCATTTTTCTTGCTTACTTTGAGCGGGTTAATTGTTTTTTTAAATAAAACAAGTTTCGGTGCAACTGATATGCATCTGTGACGAAATGATATATCTACATAAACACCCAAAATTTACTGCATAAAAGAGGCAGTCAGGCCACAGTATAATAACATACATGTATCCATACACTCTAAGCAGTTTCACACTTCATTAACTCTTTACTGGCTAATACTGCCGTGTGACAGTCGTGCGTGGGCGTTGCAATTGGCCAGCAACACCGAGCTGCTTTTTGAATCAGGAGAGCTTCTGTTGCAATGCCTAGTGATCCACAAGTCCTACTGGAATCCTGCCTTACAAAGCAATGATTATAGCTGTTAAGTCTTAGAGTTAATTTTTAACCCCATCCGTGAAAGAGTTAATTTGTTGTGATCCATCAGCAGCATCATAGAGACTTGTCTATAGCTCAAACCAAGACTACTCTTGCTCAAACCAAGTTAGTATATTAATTACTTCATACTGCATGAAATACTGTTAATAATAGCTAGCTACATACACTCTAATCACTTTGTGTACTAACACACATGAACACTGTCAAATTGAGTCAATATAATTGTATATATTACATAGAGATACATCAGTAAACCTTACTTATAAGTGTTGTGAACATGCATACAGTATTGTAACTGGGGCCATTCTACACGTCTCAAAGGCCTGGCATAACAATGGAGAATGTCATAGCATAATTGTCTACCACAGTCATCACTTACATCAGAGAGACAATATCCTGTGAATAATAAATCCTAGGATTAATACCATTCCTGTTTGATGACCATCAAATAGCTTGTGATCATCGTAAGTTTGGCCTATTGTAATTTTTTATGACTTAAGTGATACTGCTCAGTATTATATCATTTTCTTAATTAGATTTTTTACTCATGTAGATCATTATTATAATGTAATCACAACATCTTAATGAGCCTAAAAGTGGAATTTGAATTCCATAGTATTTTCCCAAGTATAAGCTTGTGTGTCCCAAGCAATACAATCTAGTAGATATTTTAAAAGTGAGCAGAACACCGGCTCCTGTGACAATCTAGTAAATATTTTTAAAGTGAGCAGAACACCGGCTCCTGTGACTCCAACTTTGGACAGACTTGGTTGATTAGTAATGTAATTAATAGCAGCATAGGCTACTCAAGCTTAAAATCAGATTATAAAGGAAGAAGGAAATAGCACCGAACTAAGCATCTGAGATAGAGACAACTGTGTTAATTAATATGCCATTACGCCAGTATACATGTATTTTACCTTCCTTCAGGACAAGGCTTGCAAAAGCAGCAATTAAGTAACTTAGTGGTGGATATATCAAAACAGCAAGTCTAATCTTAAGAAAATGAGAGCACCAAAGAAGACCTTCACATTTGATAGTGGGTTCCTAGAAATGATGGTGGTGATAAAATCAATTTGAATTTGCTCTATCTGGATTTGATGATCCAGCGTTGATAAAGGTAGCAATGGATGAAATTAATAAAATATTTCCTAATGCTTTCTGCAGTACATCGTCTCCTACACAATTAATAATAGCAACATAGATAGATTATGTGAAAACTAGCTCAAATCAAGTTAGTATATTAATTACTTAATACATGAAATACTTTTAATAATAGCTAGCTACACTCTAATCACTTATTATATACTATATAATACACATATAGGTATATTACAATTCTGAGTCTATTGTTGTCTTTGTGATAAAGGATTGGGGAAGAATGTAAACATACCAGTAATTAAGAAATCATACCATTATCTATCATCATGTTAAAGCAGTATATGGTAATACAGTATGTACTAACACACATATGTACCTGAACACAGTTGATATTACTAATGTCAGTATGTTGCATTATATAAACCTATCTTACAGTTAGGAATGATAAGGAGTGGTAACACTGTGGTGGCTCCAATTAGTGAACATGCATACAGTATTGTAACTGGAGCTATGGGGAGTCTACACTTCAAAGGCCCTTCAGTGGTTTCTGTATATTACATACTTTGTGGCTTCTATGATGATTATAAAAGTGGTAGACAGTAAGAGCTGAATTCATTGCAACAGAGAAACAACAACAGCCTCAGTATGGGAACAGGACTCCTAACAGCATTCATACTAGTAAGATACAATACCATCTGTCTGGAAATTTTTACTGTGATTTTAATTTTACTGCATTAGAATTTTGCAAAAATTAGATTACCCATATAACTACATGCCATATTCAATAATACATAACAGATAAATTTTAGTAAAAATTAAATCACAGCACAAATTTAAAACTCAAAAATTTTGTACCGCACTAATTTCCTGATATACGGTATATATGATAGTGTATGGTACTATCTTTACAGGTTATACTGAGTACATGTTATACAAATGGACTAACATTGAATGACTTGTACCCATATGGTACAGAACATGGGGAACCATGAGGACTGGAGCTAATTATCTCCCTGAAGCACCATTAGAGCCTCCAATTGATAATTTAGTTAGATTTGGTCCAACTGGACTTATGGCAACAAGATACAGAGTTATAGTAGCTACACACACACATTATTAGTGCTACTGCTTTAGTTTGTCATATAGTGCAATTGCAAACTAAACATATATATCATTTCTCAGTTTATAACAATTTACTTATACTATCTACAGGTTACATACATTGGGCCTCTGGAAATTAGAAATGATGGTAGTGATAGCATCAATTTGAATTTGCTTGTTGCTTTGAGTGATTTTTCCAATAATAAAGTGTATGGTAGGGCTACTGATGATTCAATCTTAATTAAAAGAGCAATGGATCAGATTAATGAAGCATTTCCTAATACTTTCTGCAGTACATCTCCTCCTACACAATTAATAATAGCAACTTGGATAGATTATATAAAAACTAGCTCTAACCAAGTTAGTATGATTATTAATTACTTAATACATGAAATACCATTGATAATAGTTAGCTACACTCTGACTCTAATCACTTTTTTATTGTTTTTAGGGCAGTAACTTCCAGGCAATTGTTGTAACTAATGGAAGCATTACATTTGGTATTGCTCTTTACGTTGAGGTGAGCATTACAACAGCTACTACTGGAATAGATTCAATCGTTAATGGTACTTATGGAGATGCTGATCCATCTTTCTTTCCATTTGGTACTGATATCATGGATGCTCCTAGCATGATGCTTAATAGCAACATACCAGGGACATATATATTTTCACTGAATGATAAACCACCAGGTATGACTATAGTACATGTATCAACTGTTCCATATAACTTGTATATCTTTTAGATCCTTGCACTGAACCTAGCCAGCCTGACTGCTCTGTTGTATACAAAGCTAAACTTCTCAAAATGGCATGTGAGACTTTGAAGATTAATGATGAAAATCTACCAGCTCCATGTCATAACTAATATAACATTCAATTTTATTGTGTTTTTGTTTAATAGTGTCTTACTTTAACAGTAGAAATAGCTAGTTATTTTGTTATCTGGTATGTAAAATGTCAGAAAAAACCTATTGAGTTGTAAAAATACTTTTAGTGTACACGATGAAGTGGTGTTTAAGAATGCAAGCATTGAGTGACAATTAAGAATCATACCATTACAGATTCTCATGAAACTGTTGTATAGAGGACTACGGCTCTTGTTATATAAAATAAGGATCATAGACAGTATAATGTACACGGACCCATACACTGAGAATATTACATATATATATATAAACTATCATGTAATCAAATGGTACTACAGTATCTATGTATGGTATGATAAATATGAAGTGAATAAAGCAAGCACTTTAACCACTTGGTCTACTAGCAGTACATTATACCATTCACTGGTATACTTGACAATTATATTATAATTTATAAGCCAAACATATTAAGGAACTGAATTCATTCTTTAGTTAGTTGTAAATCTAAATAACTGATGACTCGAAGATATAGGTTTGAGATGGATTTTAATCGTTGGGTCCTAATCTGCTTTGGTTATTCTCTTCTCCCCCTGGCCTCAGGAAGTGTTGGGCGTTGATGAAGAATGCAAACATTGCGGCAACTTCTAAAATTATTGACAATTAAAAATCATACCATTATCATTCATCATGTTACAAGTAGTAGACATAGCTGCTATTACTAATTTCAGTATGTATTATATAAAGCTGATAAACTTTAGGAATGATAAGGAGTGGTAACACTGTGGTCTCTGCAATTATTGAACGCACATAAAGTATTGTAACAGGAGCTATGGCAGGTCTATACCCTTCACTGGTTTCTGTATATTACATATACTTTGTGACTTCTATGATGATAGACAGTATAGGAGCTAAATTCATTGCAACAGAAACAACTACATGTATATGGGATCAGTACTCTTAACAGACATCATACTAGTAAGATATGATAGTAGTCTTGCATATAGCCAGACTCCCCTCCCCTACTGTTGTTGGGTCAACATAAAAAGGGGAGGCCAAAGTCTGGCTACGCGGGACTTATATGATAGTGTATGGTACTATCTTTACAGGTTATGCTGAGTGCATATTTTACCAATGGTTTAACATTGAATGACCTGTACCCATATGGTACAGAACATGGGGACACCATGAGCACTGAATCTAATCATTCTCCAGGATCAATACAGCCTCCAGATAATAATTTAATAATTAGAATTGGTCCAGCTGGACTTACAGCAACATTAATAGAGTTGGTACATAAATGTACATGCACACACACTCATCCACACATTATTGTTTATTAGTGCTTTATTGTGATTGTACACAGTACACTAATCATTATCTGTTTATTTTATTAGTATAACACAATTTATTGATCATTTCTCAGTTTAATGCCACATTATGTACTCTTGCATTTACTTATACTATCTATTGGTTGCACACAGTGGGTACCTGAAAATTATAATCTCAATTTGCTCTACTTGATTTCTGGTGATCTTTTCAATACTACATCTTTTACTGGAATAGAGTCTGGTATTGATGCATTGACCTGACTCTTCTATATTTCATTATGCTATGGATGCTCCCAATATGACGTCCAATAGCAACATACCAGGGACATATATATTTCTACTGAGTGTCTATGGAACAGACACTACACAAGGTAATGTATATGAGACTAGCTGATAGACCAATAGTGGATGATGTTCTTGAATGATGTACTTTAATATCTGAGGAGCATTCTTCAATAGCTGCACCCACACTTCTACTTCAATGCTGCAACTATACTTAATGCATCTGGTATTTTAAACTAGGCTTTATAGCACTATAGATTCTTGTACTTGTTCAGTTGGAGCAAGAGCCATTATGATCAACTCTTCATCAATAGTTTCGCTGGAGTTCACGTACAACTTATTCACCTTCAAAAGTTGTACAGGAGGCCAGATGCATTTGGTTTTATGAACAGCAACTACTATTATTTAAATTTAAAAAAAGCACGAGTTCAAAATTCAAAATTACAGTTCGTCTTGAGCATGAGAGTGCTGATGAGGATGACCATCTCCACCGCCTTCAACTTCATCATTAGGGAAACCCTCTTCATTAGGAGGATAATTGGAGTGAGGATAAGGAGGAAGGTTATCATGAGGGGGAGGGGCATCAAAAGGGGGCGGGGCATCAAAAGAAGGTGGGGCATCATTAGGGGGAGGTCGATTGATTCCATCTGCTTCTTCCATGAGTCGACTAACATATTGTAAAACGTCACGATAGTTGTCAATTTTAATCCGGTCACCACGGAAGTCAGACTCATGTAGCACGCCATTACAGCCGGGAATTAACTTATCAAATAGCTATAAATAGTAACACCTAAAAATAGAAGTGATGATGACAAAACTCACAGTTTTTACGTTGTCCAAAGACAGGGCGTCACCAGTTGGATTCCTCTGTAATTAAAATAATTATGGTTAAAGAGCTAAAACATTATGAATGCTTTACATTTTTTTGAGCTTCATATACATCTTCAACATGTATGGAACCATCCGGTCTCTTTAACTCTAAAAGAAAATGCCTATAAAACAATAAAGAACATGTACATATCAGAACTAGATGGTAGCAGCATTCTTTTCTCTCTTGGTCTCTATCATTCTGTGTTCCTCTTTCAATTTCTGTTCCTCCTAAAGGCGGGTTCTCAATATGATGCATTGCTTTTCATGCGCCAGCGTCATGACCAGAAGTGCTGTGTAAACCAATGGGAGTATGCGTCAATGCATCAGAATAGAAATGTTTTCTAATCTGACGCATTGACGCATGCTCCCATTGGTTTATACAGCACTTCCGGTCGTGACGGACGCACATGCGTCATATTGAGAACCCACTTTAACTCTATTTCTTACTTGACTTGCAGTTCGTGAGATATAGAGAATTGATTGATGGGAGCAAAGCCTGGTCTATGTTCCATACTTTGACAATCTTCCCTGTCAAACCTACAGAGAGCAAAGGAGAGGGAAATCAATAAAGAAAGATACAAAGAAATAAAAAGAGAGACAAAAGGTGAAAGAAGGTAAGGAGGAGAGGAGGTGTGCAAGGAAGAAACAATCGACAAAGATATTCAGTAATTACTCAAATTGTATCCACCAGACATTAACAGCCATATTCCTACCATATGAATCAACCTGCAATATAAATAATGACACGATTCATTCTCAGTTATACATTTTCCCTCATTCCAATCTATGCCCACTATCCATCTAATACAGTATCTCTCTTCTCACCCTCTCTCTCTCTCTCTCTCTCCCTCCTCCCTCCTTCCCTCCCCCTCCCTCCCCCGTCCCTCTCAGAACCCTCCCCCTTCCCTCTTTCTCTCACCCTTTCTCCCTCTCTCTCCATCTCTCTCTCTCTCATTGTCTGTCTCTTATCTTACATGGTGTATCCAGAGATAAGGAAGATAGAGACAGTCTCCTTCATTAACAACAGCTTTGTACCAAGGTATACTTGATATATTAGGATATTTGATCATATCAACACTATCAGATAATAATGGAAAGAGAGAAAGAAGAGGAAGGGACAGAGAGACAATTTTAAAAATTATAAAAATGGTGAATTCTCTCTTAGCCGTTTTTAATGAAATTTGATCAAAATAGAACATGGTATTTTGCCCAATTTTTGAGCAAATTAAAAAATTTGTAAAAAATCTAAATTTGCTCAGAATCAGTTCAAACTTTCTACACAATGATGAAATTTGGCCGAAGACTGTGTACATAGTACAGGGTCTACTCTTTTGCCCAATTTCAAGGAGAATTAAAAATTTGCAAAAAAATTCAATTTTAATTCAAATCAGCTCAAACTTTTTAAGTGGCCAAATTTTCGCAAATTTCGCGTTTCCTTGCTTCGTCGCAAAAATAAGAATCGTGAAATTCTGAATTTTCATTGCCATGTGGTGGAGTTTACAAGCTATTTGTGAAAATATTATTCCGTGAAATCTTACAAATGCAAAATTCGCGAAAATTTAGTGACGCAAAAATATCCCAGTATACGGTAAGTGTATCAATTATAAAAATAAAGAATTCAATTTTGATAAAATACTCTGTACTAAGGTTGTTGGCCAAATTTTGGAAAAATTTCAATTTTGAATGGAAGCAGGTCAACGTCTGGAAAACAGATGCCCTTGTGTAAATGGAAAGTTTATTCTTAGGTAAATAAATATTATCATAATATTATTATTACAATAAACAGAACAACAATTCTGCTGCAGGAAATTTTATACATTGCAGTAACTATTTCATAGTGCTTCAAAGCCTTTAATCAAAGTGATCATTATAAAGTGTTTTATTAGAATAATGAGGAGGTTAACTCAATAAAGTATTTCTCTTACGCGTCAACATCAATGTGATAGTATCCTAGGTTCTTGTGTTCTGGTCCGATGGCTTCAGAATAATGAGGCTCAAACATGACAAAAACTTTACGCCCGGAGACAACACAATGAAAGTTCTCCATACTATCAGTGTGAAGGACTGACTTAGTACCACCACTGCTGAACCTACAGAGAGAGAAGGTAAAGATAACAATAAATGAAACCAAAAAATTTTAAAATAATAAATTATGATAATTTGGAAATGACTATTAAGATAAAAATAAATAAAAAGAAAAGAAAGAGTGTGTGTATGTAAAGGTGCTCATACTTACCATACATTTATAAATGCAAGGTTCTCAGTGTAGCCACCACATATTAAGAAACTAGGAATAGACCATTCCTCCTGCATACTCAGAGGCATGTCACCAACCATGTATATATCACTGGTATTGTATCGCTATAAGAATAATATGCAAGAAAATATTTATTATGCATAAATAAAATACTATTATTGCCCAATAAATAAAAAAGCCCATTCTGCAAAATTTAATGATTTGTTTGCAAAAAATATTATCCTATCAGTCAAAATAAGCTCAAGAATATGCAAGTAATAATAAAAGACTTTTCTATAACCATTTTCAAAAAAAATCATGGACTAGATTGGAATTAAAGGTAAGGTACTTATTGAGGTACTTTAAAGGAATTTATTAAAAATCTCAATATAAGCAAAAATGCTAACTTCAAGTGAATATGCTTACACATTTCAGTTTCAAATACAAAACAATGATAAGTAGTAAGGTAGTGACATACGTACATCAAGGAATGCACTGAATTTAAATAATTCCCCAGTTGCTGTGCGATTCTCCTTCTTTCCATTTTCAGCTCCTATCTCCTCATGACCAAACCTCTCCCTATCAAGAAATGGAGAGAGGGAGGGAAGTAGTGAGAGATGGAGTGAGAGACAAAAGATAAAGTAAAGAACAAGAGGAGTGAAAGAAGAGAGAGAGAGGAGGAAAGGACAAATAGAAGAAAGGAAAGAAGGAAGAGATAGAAAAACCATTAAAGAACATGAACACAGGGTGGGACACTTCCAGTAATTGGGTAAAGACATCAATTTACTATTGTTTTTTTAATTATTTAGCAAAAGTATTCAGAATCATATGAGCTGTTTCTTAAAGAATTTTAAAAGCGCCTTTTAAAATTAAAGCAAAAATGATTGAACTACCCAACTACTAGAAATGCCCCGTACTGTATTAACATAAAGAAAGGAAGAAGTTTATAAGGTGTGGAAAGGAGGCAGAGAAAAAGTGAAGGGTCAAACCTCAAATAACTGTCATATCTCCAGTTAGCAAAAACCTCAGTCTCTTTCATTATCCCTCTAAATATAACTGGACTATTCCTGTATACATAATCATCATAAAATGTAATGGGGTCAGGGAATTTAGTGGTCTCTTCCACAAGGAGAGGAGGCATGTGTGAGCCCAATGGTTGCATGTGTCCTGGAGGATCATCACAAATAACACACAAGATACATACTGAGAGGAGGAGAGATGATGATAGGATAGACCTGGAGAGAATAAAAGATATTATATCACCAGTGATACATTAGGATAATTGAGACACTGAATGACTTAAAAGAAAAGAGGAGAGAGAGAGATAGACTTACATTTTAGACTGAGCCCCACCTACTTAGGATTAGCAAACCACCTCCCACATTCTTGTTTATGGGTGTGGCTGGTTAATTAACATTCTTCACAAACAATGTCTAAAGGTCAGTTTCTGTTTTCTACCTCCTCTTTCTCATCATGTTTTGTATTTTACAGGTATCTATCTACTGGGAGGGATAGGAGGACACTCAGCTCCTGTAGTAGGAGAATCAGTGTTCCTGTGGGGAGGGAATAGGCCTGACTTACCTCTTGTTCATGATTCTTCACAAAAGAGGAAATTGTTGTCCACCATTGATAGACTGGAGTTTAGGACTGGTCATTGGTCCTCTCACGTGACCAGAGGAACGTCACCTCCTCTAGGACCTATTACATACTTTTGTACTACCAGAAACAATGACATCTTCTATTTTGGCGGCTACTGTGGAGATGAAATGTGCTTTCACAATGATGTCAACTCATTTAACAGTCTAACATTTGAATGGAGTAATATAATACCAACCAGTGATGCTGTAATGAAGAGAGGGGCTGGTGGTATGGTGTGTATGGAGTCTATGGGTACAGAATACCTATTTATGATAGGAGGGACTGGCTCTACACCCACTACATACCAATCACAGTATCAGTATATTCAAATGATTAGTGGTCGTATTCGTACTAATGAACAGAATTTATTAAAATTATCAACAAGTAAGTATTTATTAATTAATAAATATATTAACAATCTATACTCTGCTTGTGATGGCATATTTTTCAATCATTATTTCTCTTACCATTTGCATATTAAGTAGGTGCATGTAAACATGAAGGAGTGAGCATGAACCATCATTGTATGAAGAGACAGTTGATTTGACTAACTAATTTTGAGTTACATCAGCTACATAAAAGTAAAAATACAAAATTAAAAATGAAGCCTTCAGGCATGGATGTATCCTACTCCACCTATTAATAATTTGTCCGCATGGTCTAATTAAATTTATTGATTAACATCCCTCACCAATGCTTTGTGTGGGTGAGGGACTAGGTAGTCTGGTTGTCTGTCATTCATTCATTCATTTAGTTTACTGAACTCTAATGATCATTTTACTCCATTTATGAATGACATTGTCAAATGTTGTCATATTGAGCCACAACTGACATGTACATGTATGATGTATCTGTACATCAAGTGAAACAAAAAATACATCTAATATACATCTATGTACTAGTACATGATTTTTGCAGTTGTCACGGCGTCTTCTCTAGGGATTCGGGGATGCCGTCCAGCCCATCTATATAGTTGCTTCCTTAGTAGTCAGCTCAGCTCAGGATTCACTAGTTAGCTCGCCAATGCAGGGCTCGCTATCAATTTCACAAAATATATATTTCAACAGAATCTCTTTCAAATAATATACCAGCTTTACTGGTTCAAACAACAATATCAAATAAAGATAGATAGTGCCACACTATCTCCCAACGACTCAATAACACTCAGACTACGCTCACACACTTCTACACACTGCCCACACACACACAAAATGGCTCACAAAAATTACTCTCTTATATACAAAATACATTCATGAATAATAATGAACTAATAATTAATAATAACTGACAATCAATAAGCACAATGAATATAAATCACACATAAATCCTCACAGCAGTGTCATACTTAATAATTCTAATTATACTATCTTTTTCTATTTAGGACAATGGATTATTCCAACTATTAGTGGTCAGTGTTGTCCTCCTACTGCTGACTTTGCTATTCAAAAGATTACTAATAATAAAGCTGTTATGTTTGGTGGAGCAGTGCCTAGGGATGATGGTTATGATATACTTGTTAATACAGTCTATATATGTCAATTGGAGTCCGATACTACAATAGTAAGTTATCTTATTACTGTATGGGATGTATTTATTGCATGGATCAATCATGTTTGGACATTAATACATGTACATACAGTTATAGCTTGTAATTTGAAAAATGTATTTAAATGAGTATTAAATGTAGATTTGGTTTAATAATTTATTTTAATGGAAACTGTACAATTATCACTAGTATTAACATAATTATTTTATAATTAAATGTACAAACTCTTAAGTATAATAAAACAGTGTACATGCATTAATTCATTTTATCTAGCACTGGGAGAGCATTAAGGGACCAGTAGTACCTGCTAGTGTACAGTGGCCTGTGGAAAGAGATTCTCATGCTATTACTAGTATCATCAGTGACTCACCAACACTAGTAATGATAGGTGGAGAGGATAATGATGGTCAACTAGTAAATGATAGTTGGTTACTGAATACTAGTCAGTACCAGTGGAGTAAGGTATGTGTATAATGTTATTAGTTTAGAGTGTACATGTGTGTGATACAGTGAATGTACAGTAGTTGTCATGTTAATGTATTGTATTGTATTAATACCTTAGAAATACTCACTGTGTGCATGTACAGTACATGTACCTAATGCATGTACATGTATATTCCCTTGAATATTTGTAACATATTGTAAATACTGTTTATATGAAATATTACCATACTTGATTATTATTGCAACAGATTGTTCTACCTGAATCTGTTACTGGTAGACGTTCTCATTCCTTATCATCAATAATGATGAGTCCAGACTGTGTGTGGTTGGTGGTAGTAGGTGGGAGAGGAATAGATGAATGGAAAGATTTAGGCAGAGGATACAAGGAAGCATTTTCTAAACGTATCACTGATCTTAATTTTACAATGTTATTAGAACTAGGTAAGAACTGAAGTTTTTTGTATTGTATGTACTGTATAGAGGGATTTACATCATTGCTGGTATTCCATAACATAACATGAGGGAATTATTGTTGTTATAATGAACTGCAATGATAGTTGACATAACCAAATTACCATGTTCTGTGTATAGTGCAGTGTATTGGTGGCCGGCACTTTATTTTAGCAATTGTCCCTTAAAATGTATTTTCTGGTTTGTAATTTGTCAATAAAACAACAATTAATGCATAACATTTATATAGTATTTTACCCTCTAATGCTACATGTATTGTGTTGTATTATTAGTAACAGCATTACATCATCTTTACAAGTACTTGTACATACATGAATTATTTCTCTTTCATGTTTGTATTAGTTTTAAGAGAAGGTGAATGGAGACTAAGTGAAGTACTAGATTCTACTGGTCTGACTACTGAGGCCTATCAAGACAAGTATCAGTTATTATTAAAGAACAGACAATGGTGGCAAGATCAGTTTATAGTATACCCTACAGAGAGAGAAGTCAAGCTACAAAATTATGTGGAATCGTTGCAGCAGGAGTTAAGAGTATGTGAGGGAAACAAGACCTCACTGCAGGAAGCACTCCTTGAGGCTAGTCAGCAAGGTATAGTCCTGTACTGTGTGTGTGTGTGTCAGTAGTTATTGAACCTATACCACTAGACAAGACAAGAGTAGAAGGAGTGAAAGAAACTAAACTATCTTCAACTAAAGAGGAAGTGTCTACTGGACCAACTGATGGTAAGTATATACACACACAGTAATAGTTAGAGACTTGTTTGATGTGTGTGTGTGTTTACTAGTTTATAAAGATAATGATGATCTTAAAGGAGAGGAGAAGGAGGAGGAGCAGACAACAGAAACTAAACAAACAAGCAGTGAAGGTATATCCTTATATGGTAATATGTTATTATAGATTTATTTTGTGTAGAAGAGATTGAGAAATTTGAAGCTAAGCTAACCTTGCTTACTGAAGAGAAATCACAATTACAGGACAAATTAGAAATATCAACTAGTGGTAAGACTATCAGTATATTGATACAAAACTTGTATTATT